GCTTGGCTCAGCTTCTTCAGAATTCCATCCCTGGAGTCCCTGTCTGTGTCTGGAATCAYTTGGGGCAGGGAAAATGATGGGTGGGATCTGTTCCATGGCCCTTCCTGAGCAGAAAAATCAAATTGATTTCAAATCTTATCACTGGTGGTGTTAAACGAACCCCACAGATCCCAGTTCATGGAAAATTCAAGATATTCTTGCTGGTTTTCAGGCTGGCTGGATATTAGGGAGAAATTATTGAATTAAAAGGAATAATTCTTGTTGCCCGAGCTAAATGTTTCCATCTGTTCTCTGCAATGGAGCAGCAGCAAAAAGAGGCATTTTCGGATGCTCTGGTGCCATTWCCAGAATGGCTTTATTTTATTTTTAGGTTCAAAACCAGGATTTGTTGGTGTTCTCAAAGCTTTTGGTTGCTCACATGAAGGTCGTGGTCACCCCATTTGTTGATCACGTTCATCCAAAGCGAGGACAAAAGCAGAATTTCACATTTGAGGTTATTTGAGGTCCCAATTTTAGGTTTGGTCACCACATTTCTGCGTTCACGCTTTCAAAAAAAAAGCAGATTGGAATTTTCTCCGAGTTCTGGTTGTCCCATCAATTCCAATCTAACAGAATTCAGGAGGAATTTCAAGTTTTTCTCCTCAAATGGATGTTTCAGACTCTCTTTTGGGGAGATGAAGTCTCTCATCTGGAAATTCSCCTTAACTCCTTCCTGCCAAACCTTTGAATTAGAGAAGTTTGCAAGTGCAGCAGAGGAAACAAAAGCTTCAGGGGTCAAAAACTTCATCTTTTATTATGCCTGGAGCCTGCAAGTGTGAAAAACAGGCTGAGAATGAAGGAACTGGGACACTTTAATTGTGATTTCTGTGAAGGAGGAAAAATTCAGTCATTAAATTGACATTTTGCAATGCACTGTTCTCAGAGCTGCACAAAGTTGTAAGGCTGTAATGTTGTTACGTTTTAGTGATTAAATTAATATTATTTAATTCTTAAGGTTTTGCAAAGCAATTAAAAGTGTTCGGCTTCTCCTATATTAGAAGTTTCTTTGGCTTGAAAGGATTTTTAAGTTTTTTTATATAAAATTATGTCACAAAAAAGCAAATTTAGGTTTAACCGAATTGTCTTTTGACTGCTGCTAAAAGTTTTCTTCCTCAGATCCTTTTCCTCTGTGTGCYCTGCCGATGTGAAAATCCTTCAATTTAAACTTTTGTGTCATTAAAAATCTGGGGTTTAGTTATTCCTGTTGCTGATTTGCTGTCCCACACCTTGACACTTTTAAATCCTTGTTTTTACTCTGCTTTTCCCCAGTGACATTTGGGACATTTATCATTAACAATATTTAACATTTCTCTTTGTGCTGTTGTGATACGCATTCCTAAAAATCAGAGGAACATTTGATTATTTAATACCATTTACTTAGAAAAACTTTAAAACCAGACTTCTTAAAATCCCTGGCAGCTCTCTGAAAACTCCTTCAATCCTGAGCTAAATTTTGATCATATTTTTCTCTCCATTTCTGAATAAATAAGATGGATCTTTTTAAAATGATCAAACAAATTGCAATAGTAGGGAATTTTTATATAAATATAGACTCRGGAGTGATCCAATGTGAATTATATTAAACTCAGAGGGAACCCCTCTATTAACCTTAGCAAGAATAGAATCACAATTCCACAAACGGGATTCTGCTTTCCCTGTGCCCAGGGAATATTCAAAAACCATCCTGRTACTTTTATCAATGAATTGGACAATTAATTGTGCTAATTAGCAAYAGCATYRCTTGGAAAGAATCACTTGGAGGAAGTGGAGCAATGATGGCAGAAACAGCCTGGAGCAGGCAGGGCTGGAATTGGGATGGAATTGGGATRGAATTSCTTCTTTGTGGAAATTCTGGATTTTTTCAGCTTTTCCAAATTCAGGATAATTCCTCTGCCACTGGTTGGAACCTGAATCCAGAGCAGAGCCTGCTCCTAAAAGAGAACTTAAAACAATCTGCCCTAAAAGAGAACTTAAAACAATCAGGATTTGCCAGTTACGGTGATTTGTGCCGAGAATTTTTAAATATGAAGTAACATTTTTTATTTGAAGAAGTTTTGTTGTTTTCTTTTAGGAGGATTTAATTTTAAACAATAGCCTAATGTCATATCTAAAGGAAACACTTTATTGTGTGATGATAAAGCATCATGAGGCAAAACTGCTGGCGTGGAATTTCTTCTGTCCTAATGAGTTTGGGGCTTTAGAAGAATTSATCTGAAATCCAGGCGTCCTTTTCTTCTCCATTTATCCAAGGATTTGTGGAGTTGTTTACGCCCTGTTCTTGGAGGAATGGGAAAAGTTCTGATTTTGGGCTCAACACCAATAAATTTATATARATAATGGAGTCAGGACAGAGAAATGAAAATATTCTGGTGGGTTGAGTTGACTCTTGCCTGTGGAAAATGTGTTCCAGCAGTGTCAAGACAATGGTGACAATTGATTTTCTCTCCTGTTTGGGATATTTTACCAAATGTCATCACTTTTGTGATTTTTTTTTTTTATATTTTGAATGATAAGGCTCAGGGAGAGAGAACCTGAGCATCCTGGTTTGTGTAAAGTGTCCCTGCCATGGAAGGGGATGGGACTGGATGGGCTTTGAGTCCCTTCAACCCAAACATTCCATGTTCTGTGATTGAAAAAAAAATCAATTATTTGTTAGTTTTTAGTGCTAAACTAAAATTTTTTTACTCAGTCATTCTTTTATACCTTTAACAACATAGGTGTAGGAGAAATAGTAGAAAAGACAAATTGGCATTATCCAGACCTCAAATTCTTTTGTGTATCAGCTCAGCTCTCATCAGTTTYTGTTATCTCAGTATTAAATTAAAGACCAGCGAAGGAGAAAAATTGATTACATTTGCACTGCGAGCCAGAAAACAGCAATGCTGGTCCACCAGGTATGCACAGGGGCTGAGGGGAACAAATTGAGTTCCAAAAGTGCTGTGTTACCAATGAATGAAAGCAGTTCTTAAATTACCCATCCATTTTTAATTCCAAGACAAAACGAGATAAATCGGAATGTGTGATTGTGGGAGAGAGCTTTATTCTCCAAATTTTATGCATCTAAAACTTGAGTGTGAACTTCATCAAGATGTGGAGAATTTCCAAACTCCAAGCAGAGGTTCCCCACGGAAGCATCAACTCCTCGGGATTTATAGGATTGAGATATGGGATTTATAGGATTGAGATATTCACCGAACTTCTGTCTGATTTTTTTCCCCTTGCAAATTAAAACTCCATTTATTTTTCTTTCCCTGTAACTGAGGACACAAAAAATAGACAATATCCCTTCTCATCTTCTCAGAACAACAACCACTCCAACGACAGCATTGCAAACCTTTAAAAATATTCCTTATATCTGGATATCACATATGGGAAGTAAATATGTTACTATGTTAGCCTTGAATATATATCACACACAAAAAGRAAATACAGGATTTTATATTTATAACCACAGATCACGTCATTTGAAGGGATGTGATGGTTTGTTAGCCTTGCAGCTGATTTTTGAGTTAATTTCTTGGAGAAATCTCCATTTTTTTGTGGCATTTCTCGGAGCTCTCCTGGTTTTCACGTGGTCCTCGGTGTTGTTAGGCAGCCACGGGTCCTTTTTGAAGTTCTCGTTCATCTGGCCAACTTGTCATACAAAAAAACCCCAGAAAAGGCCATATGTTCCTGCAAATGTACCTTTGGAAGGTGGGATTGCTGCTTTTTCTTTTTCCTCCTGCCATCTGTTCTGTTTTAACTTCATTTTCTCCAAATTTCGTGTCTAGCAAATATTCAGATAATAGATGGGAATTCTAATGGGTGAGGAAGCAAAGATGATTGTTCCCAGCAGGTTGAAGATGCCCTTAGTCAAATATTCAGATTTTTTTTGACACTTTTTGTCATTGTAACAATTACAATTTGAAATTAGGAAGCCGTCAAGAGCTAAACATTATTTTTRTTTCAAATACAAACACGCTGAGATGCTCCTGAGAAAATCCAGAAATCAAATGAGCAAATAYTGTGGATTTCTCCAAGTTCCTGCTGCTCTTTCCACTTGGAATTTCTCATTCCCATCYGAGTGCTGCTCCTCCTTCCTGCTCCAGCCCCGAGGATTCCCAGGGATTAGGGAAGGATCTGGGTTAAGACTAATCCAGCAGAAAAGACACAAATCGGCTCCCTTGGCTGAGGGATGGTTTGTGCCCTCTGCTGCACCTCAGGAATTCCATCCTCGGGAATTCCCTCAAATTCCAGAGAAATAAAGGAGTAAGGAAAAAATTCTGGTGTGGCCATAATTTTCAGGCTTTTTCTGAGACAGCAGAGCCCTGATTTAGACCAGGATTGTTCTGAATTGGGGAAATCTGAAAATCCTGTGAGCCTTGGGGTTCCTCCAAGCACGATCATGCACAAATAAAACTTATTTTCCACCACTTTTTATTCTTATTTATAAGAATAAAACAAACTCCAATGCCCTGTTTAAACCCAGGTCATGATTTGCCAGCACATGTCCAAATCACAGAATTCTCTTTGGTTTAAAGTGAAAATCTTGAAGTATTTTAGGAAAAAAAAAACCTCTCCAAGTCTATAACCTACTTTTAATGGTTCTGAACGACTTTGAGGAGTTTTATATTAATTTATATAGGAGTCCATGTGTGTGAGTGTATATAAAAAGAGATGTGTGTATAAATAAGCAACACTGGGCGTCTTTTTGCTATTTTAGTTTGGTGGTGGATCCTCTCAAGAATATCTCATTTTCAGGTCCTTTTCTCCATTCTCCAGCTGTGTGGGCTCTGTTTTTACAGCCTGGAATTCTGGACAAATGTAAATCCATGGATAATACAGACCCAGACCCGATTTTGGACTGTAGGGAATTCTGATTCTGCGTTTATGGGCAATGAAAAGATCCTTCCAGAGGGAAATCAAGCAATAATTTTCCTTTCTTCAAATCCCCTTTTAGTACAAACTGTGTTTTATTGCAGGAAGAAGAGACTTCACCGCAACAAAACGGGCAAAAAACCKCCAACACTTGAAGAAACAGCACTTGTGGAATTGTTCCCTAAAATCCCAACACCCACAAATCCCGAGGGATTGCACCCACCAGTCTTCCTGAATTCAGGTGGGTGAATTTTCCCTTTTCCTCCCTTTTTCCTCAGGGAAAATGAGGATTTTAATTCTTTGGAAGTGCCYAAGGGTTGGATGGGTTTGGAGAAGGCRTTGGGATGGGAATGGGATGGGATTGAAGGTTCCTTATAAYCCAAATCTCTCCARGATCCYRTGATTTCTCTGAAATTAAACACAATTCCTCTGAAATTAAACACAATACCATTCATAAATCTAATTTAATACAATTTTTCCACCCAACRAAATAAAAACAACAATCACTGCAAAGAAAATCAGACMAAAACTGCTCCAAGCAGGACTCAGCTGTTATTTTCCATCATGGAACCCGTGGCTTTAATTCAGAATTTAATTTATAATTTTCATTCAGAAAATGAGGATTTTAATTCTTTGGAAGTGC